TCTAAATAGTTTTGTAATGCTAAAAAGCACAAAATAACCTTACAGGAAATGTACAAAACTTCCCTTTCACTGGATTGGCATTCTTGGTGGGACATTTCCATGACATGTTTTTTTTTCATTCAAGGCTAAAATTAGCATATGGTAGAATGGGGGCTATACCAGCCTTTACAATATACAGTACCTTGTTACAGACTACACCCTGTATGCCAATCTTCCCTTTTAAATTTGCCTTTAAGCAATATTGAAGTAATCATTTGTGCTCTCCTTGGCCAGAGATCTTGTTCATTTAGATTCCAGAAATATTTCAAACTGCTACATACCTGGAAAAGTTTGATTTTACAGTGGAAGGCTGACCTGGCAAGGGAGGCTTCTTTAGTGGGTCTTGTTTTACTAATGATGGTGGCCTGAAAGCACATTTTTATTTTTTATAAATGAATTGGGTTGGTTGGAAATACATTTGTTTAACACGTTTTCATTAAAAAAAAAAATACACCACATTAAAGACCTTTTTAATGAACAAATAGGTACCAAAAATGTCCAATTCATGAATTTACTTTCTTTTTTACATTGACTTGTTTCTTCTAGAAGAGATATGCAACAGTCTCTTAAAAAGTAGTGCCTAAGTAGTATGTTTGTGCATGCATGTTACTCTCCTGTTTGTGCATGCATGAATTTTATCAAAACGTATATACTTATACTACAGAAAACAGTGTGAGGAGTCCTGACGACATCTGTCCTAATTTAACACTCCCATCAATATGAAATGACAGTCACCTGATTGATCCTCTTTGGCTAAAGTCTGGCAACAATCTGATATTGATGGATATGTGTCTTTTTTGTTTCGCCCCATAGGATCAGGCACCCGTTTAGGAAATATTTATCAGATAGGTTAGAAAATCTGTCCCATCCTATTTTTCTCCAATTTAATCAGTGCCAGGAACATATGCCAGCAGCATTTATTTGTATTGAAATAACTTGAAAAGCTCAGAATGCCCCAAGAGTGGAAGGCTTATTCCTGCACATCTGTCCGTAGTTGAAAGGGCAACATTTGCTTCATGTATGGTAAGCTGTAGTTACAAAATGTACGGTAGTTACCGAGTACTTATAGATAATGAAAAAGGGTTGGATATCTGACTGAAGGCTGGACACTATATTGTACTTTTGTTTACTTATATTAACTATAAACTTTAAAGATAATGCTTTAATATGTACAGTATTTGAAGCAAAAAGATTATAGTTTTGGATTGGCAAGGGACCAGAACCCCTCCCAGGTTTTTATTGCTGATTGTGTCCACCCTAGGGAGAACCATCTTCACTTTTTGTCCTGGTGATCATTGTCTCTTGTACTTATATTTTTTAGGTTGTCATTGAAAAAGGTGGTGAGGAAAAATCTTCCAATGTGGATACCTGGTCAGGTGACAACTGTTACCCTTACTTTGTTCTCCTCTTACTTTTTGCTGTGTCTCGGGACAGAAAGTGAAGAAACTCTCCATAACAGGATACAGATAGTAAAAAAAACCCACAAAAGGGATATTTGCCATTCCCTACTACATTCAAAACTAGATAAAAAGGGTTTGTCTTCACATACATTTTAAGACATATTTCTGTAGCCTTGTGCTTGTTCAAGAAAAGTGTTTTCACATTAACCACAATTAACACAAAAAATACAACTAAAGAAAGAAAATGTAATGTTCAGTTTTTATTTGCATTATTCCAAAATCAATTTTACCTTATAGCAGCAGGTAGCGTAATAGACTAGTAAAGAACAAAAGAAAACATTAGTTAGTGATTCAAATTATTCTTAGCATTCAGCATGGTTGTGGTTAAATTATTCCTTTCATTATGTATGAGCTTTTTTACTAGATTTAGGTTGAATGTAATGATGGAAAGCAATCTGCAAAGGCACAAGTGCTCTTTGCTATATTGTGACTAAAAAATCTGAAAACAATGGGTCCTATAGAAAGCATTTAAAAATTAACTCTAACCATATATCTAAATACATGTAATAAAATAAAGTTTTTTTGCACTCAATGTTGGAGGATAGAAACATTTGATCGAATTATATAGGTGGAGAAAGGCAAGGCTGTAGTATATCATTAATTAATTTTTAAAATTAATAGTATTTTAATGCTTTTTTTAACTAGAAATCTGGCAGCCAAGTTGTTCAGACTGTAGATTCTGCTCTAACTTTTACCCTTCAACCATTTTAAGCTATTAAGAGTTTTATTTTTTTACATTATTTTTACATTTGTTTTACATATTTTAATATGACTAGTAGATACTGATAACAATAAAACAGAACCTTCACATTTTGCCTTCACTCTGACCCTTCAAAAAAAGGTGGCCTTTATAGCAACTGAATAACTATAGCTTAGAAGCCCTTAAAGGAGAACTATGGGGTCAGGGCTTTTCCCCATAGTTCTCCTAAGGGTAACGGGAGGACACAAACTAGCGTCCTCCCATCATCCAAAGCTCAGTATACCGCGAGACTGAGACGCCGTAGCCGGGACGGATCCCGACATTACTGTCTGGATCCACCCAGCTGCGTAAGTAACAGCTGGCACTGCCTATCTAGAGGCAGAGCCAGCTGAACCCGCCCCATCCGTTGCCCCAGTCAGCGCTGGAAGATCAGACAGGGGAGGGGGAATCCCTGCAGGGAGCCGTGAGTGACAGTCACGTCTCTTTGCAGGGACAGGATCGAGAAGTGAGCGAGTGACGTTATGTGTTCACTCACTTCCCGATCTATTGAGCCGAACTGTGACAGTTTAATTGTCACAGGTCGGCTATAACTATGAGGCTGAGTGATTTTCACTCGCCTCCTAGTTCTCCTGTAACACAAAGGCACTCAATAGGCTACATAACATTAACATTAGCTTACAAATGCAAACTTTTACAAGGAAGTCATGATGCTTGTTATAAAATATAAACACAGGTATTATCTGTGAGTTACTGTTTGTTATCCTATAACTCAATAACACAGCTACAGAGATCAATGTATACTCACCCTTGCAGGTTCAGTTTTTCCTAAAAAATACATAAATAAACAAATAAATATATGTATTAATAATATAATATGTAATATGGCATAAAAAATGATTGCACGTATTAGGAAGGAAGGTAAAAATCATAGCACAAGCTATAATTAAAGTGATATTAAAGTCGAAAGGATTTTTAGGCTATTTCAAATGCAGATGAAATCACTTACAATGGAAGCTTCTTCTTGCATTGTTATTTACAAAAGTGTGAAGAGTTTGGAGAAGGCAGGAGAAGTGAACAATCTAGGACAACATAGCTGAACTGGAAAGTGAGCTGAATTGGAGAATTTTTAAAAAATCAGCTATGTCGTCCTAGATTGTTCACTTCTCCTGCCTTCTCCAAACTCTTCACACTTTTTTGAATAACCCTGTTCATGTTAAAACGTTTTAAAGGGTTATTCACAAAAGAGCCGAAGGATCCAGCAGTAGCTTCGGTCAAACCAAAGGGCTGCTGTACGGGCTATTCAGCAGCCGGCTGAGACGTAGTGAGACACGAAGCATGGAGAAAGGTCGGCTGGATGGCTGGCCGTCCTCCACGCAAATGACAGCTGGGCACAGTCAGCCATGATCTCACAGCTTGCTCCGCCCAGTTGTTGTTTTTTTTTTGCCCTGGACATGCTAAAAGATTCTGGCAGGTGCTGGACAAAAGTAAACAGTTGGGCGGAGCTAGCCGTGATGTTACCGCTGGCTCCACCCAATTGCTTATATTTTGCCAGCATCTGTCAGATTCTTCACGCTGCAGCAGGAGTTCATCGCACGCGGTTGAGTCAGTGTGCGTTACTTTTTTATATTATTATTTTTTATTTATGTATTATTTTTATTTTTTCATTTAGTCGGCGTCATGGACAACGCTGGACGTCGTGATTGACCTTAGGATTATGTCGGTGGATCAATTTTTGGGTTGTTTTTTTTTCAATAAAGGATTTTTTTCTAAAAGTCTGGACTTTTTATTTAAATGTATTTGAACCCTTTAGTAAATGGGTAGGGGTACAAGTACCCCTTACTCATTCGCAAGGGGGGGCCGAATCTGTGTGCCCCTTTATTAAAGTTGTGCCCTACAGTGCTAAGGGCATGTGACCTGGTACGGCAGGGAGAGGGGGCACTCGCTAGCCCACCCCCCTTTCCTGCCATGCCAGGCCTGTACTCAGATCAAGGGTCTGTTTGGGAATTTTAGGGGGACCCTACGTCTTTTTTCCCCCATTTTGGGGGGGTGGGGTTCCTCCTAAAATTCCACCAGACCTTAAGTGCCTAGTATGACTTTATTGGGGAACCCCACACATTTTTTTCATTTTAACTTGGGGTCCCTTCTAAAATTCCTACCAGACTTAAAGGGTCTGGTATGGTTTGGGAGAGGGACCCCATATTTTTCCATTTTTTTTCATTTAACTATAATTTTTAAACATGTTTTTTTTTTCTATTTTGCTCGCTTCCTCGGAGGTAGCGAGCAGAATAGCCGAGCCGAATGCCGAGTATGCTCTGTTCCTTGTGATCTTGTAAAGGACAGGAAGTTCAGGAAAGCTGAGCTGAGAGACAAAAAGACAAAAGTGTTTGGACAAAAATGTAAAGAAATCCTTTGCTGGGCAATGTATATTTGTTTGATCTGGATTCATTATTGAAAAAAGTTTGAGAGTTTAATACTTAGTTAAATAATAAATCTGGTCTGAGTCTGACCCAGATTATTTTGTGTGTCAGCCAGTTCATATGTCAGCCACAGTTTTTCTCAAACCTTAGTCTGTTATCTCTAAGCCTGTCACCACTGGGTATGTAATCCTTAAGTCTGTTAACTTCAAGCTCACAATACTAATGATGAGTGAATGTGCCTAGATTTGTTTTGACTAGAATTTTTTTAATAATATAGAATTTAAGTCAATTGGGGGACTACTATTGATGGTCACTTTTGGCCCTTTAGAGAGCTGTTACACAAGTTGTTTTCACCCGATATACATGGAAAGTTGTAAACAGGCACAGCATGGATGCCTAGGCACTACTCTGGGGGATCTTTGCTAATGCAAAAAGTACAGCAATGGAAAAGGACCTTTTCATATGGGAAAATCGCTAGACTTGTACACGGCTGAAAATGTTGTAACGTTTTCATTTAGCTTCTATTCTGATTTTTTCCCCTTTCCTGACATTTGGATCTGTTCGATATTCAAAATTTGGAAAACGGATCGATCCAAAGTTTTTGTTTTTGAAATTCGGATCCATTCAAATCTATTTGGATGGAGTTAGGTCATGTTAAATGACAAAACAAAAAATAAAAAAAACCTGCATGGGGTCCCTCCTAAAATCCTTACCAGAGCCTTGATGCAAGTAGCAGCCTGGCAGAACAGGAAAGGGGGGACGATCGTGCACCCCCCTG